AAATACAGACAGCCAACAAGCATATGAAAAATGATCAGCATCATGTACAATAAGAAAAATGCAAACAAAACCACACTGAGATACTGCCTAACTCACATATTAAAAAACTAGGGAGACGTGGGGATTACAATTGAGATGAAAAAAAAATGTGCAAAATGATGTAAAAATAAACTTTTTAATAAAAAAATATATATATATATAAAAAAAAATATGGGCCATTCTCACAGGTGTGAGGTGTTATCTAATGGTGGTTTTGATTTCCATTTTCCTGATATAAGCGATGTTAAGCACTTTTTCATCTACCTGTTGGTCATTTGTATTGCCCATGTTTTAACTGGTTATTTACTTTGTTTTTTTTTTTTTTTTGAGTTGTGTAAGCTCTTTGTATATCTTTGATATTAATCCTTTATTGTTTTAAATCTTTTAAAATAATCTGTCTTCCTTATTCTGTTCCTTCTGCTTATGCTTATATCATCTCCCACCTGAACTGCAAATGCCTTCTTTAAGTCTCGCTGCTCTAACCTATTCCCTCTCACCTTTCACGTCATGGGGAGGGTGATGATCCTGAAAAAACAAAACAAAACAAAACAAAACCAAATCCTCATGTCATTTTCCTGCTCAAAATTATTTAATGGCTCATTGCCGTGACATGAAAGCATACACATATACAATGCTGTGTGTGTCAGGCACCACAATTTGAGAGCTGTAATCCTCATGTCAATCTTTGTGATAAGGAGGGAGTTAGACGTGAGATAAAGTGGTTGTCAGTGGTTATGCTGCTGTAAGTCCTGATCTGGAACTGAACCAGGGGAGGCTGGTCCCGGGTCTGTGCTTATAGTAGTCACACTGTCTGTTACCCAAGTAGAGCCCAAACTCGTTCCTATGACTTAGACCCTGCAGTTCTGCAAAAGGGTTCTATTCCAGCCGGTATCTGGAACCCATGTCTTTCAAGACTTGTTTCAGTCATCAACACTTCTCAGAAGTGTTACTGACAGCTCCCCCAACCAATGACTCTTATAGATGAATACCTTGAAACTTTCATCTTGTTATATAATATATTGTGTATTATGGGATAGACAGTATATAGACACACATATAAGTATGTATAATGTATGTATAATATATATATATAGAAACCACATATATCTTTACAATAGCTTTTTATAATTCATATTCAAATTTTACCCATTTGGGGTGTATAACTCAATGGTTTTTAGTATATTCATGAGATTATGATTTAATTAGAATCTTTGTTATCTCTGTGGTATGATGCTATGAGCACAGCCAGCCAGGTGAGCAGCCCCAGGGAGGGGTAGCTGAGGCTGGAAGGGAATGGAAGAGTGGAAAGTGTGGACACCAACCAGGTAGAGGGAGAGGAACTGAGAGGAACTGAGAGATCAGAGTATTTCTAGGAGCACATCAGGGAAGCTGGTAGAAATCTTAGGTTTCAAGATTGGGTATGTTAGAAATGGAAGATTATTTTTCCAAAACTGAACTTACTTCCCATTTTGAGTCTCCAAGTTGTACTCAGTAATCAAAATCTCCTGCCATTTTCTCCCAGCCTGGATCTCAGAGAATTACTTGAAGCTTGAGATTCTTCTCCAAAGCCTTTCCGCATGTATAGTGGACACACTGTTCAACCTGGCTAGAAGGTTCTTTGGGAACGTATCCTAGGTTTACTCTTGGTTTATGTAAAGGGCATGTAAAGGGCCCCAAGCTGGTTAGCCAGTGACTAGTACACTGCCTGGCTTAAAGTAGATGTTCCTTAAATATGTGGGTGAAATAAATGGAACTAAAAGGGCAGCGAGAAGAACCAGAGTGTCGAGGACATCGCAGGTATTTCATACACCCACTTTCACACACAGAGACCCACCAAAATTGCCCTGTCCAGTATTCTTCCTTCTGCCAGTAACATCTAGTTAACCCGATGAATACTTGCTGATGTGTCATCAGGCATGTTGACTTCTGGGTTTACCCTGCGCCATTCACCACCCCCCCTCAAGTTGATATGAGTCAGCATCAAAGGGGAGGTGCTAAATGGGATTTGGGCCACCAAAAGCTGGTACAGACGCAGAGGCACTCTCTTCCACTGGAAACCGACCTATTAATTATATTTACTCTGCCTTGGTTATTTTTCCCTCATTACTAGCTAATGGTACAAGTGGGATGTTCCATGCCTGCTTAATGAATGGGGAGCGTCAGGGGCTGTGGGCTCTGTTCTTGGTCCAGTGGCGGTCACCGTTAAGAAAATTCTAAACAATGACCCGTGAAGCTCTTCAGCTAGTATCAAGATGAGGGTGGTTCATAACAAATGACATCAAGAATACATCTCCAAGAGGCCTGTACTCTGACGGCCCCACGGGGCGATGACTCCCTTGGCATGCCCCTCCAGATAATGTACCTCTGTTTCCTTCTAGAGATGTATGCCTCACACACTATACCCCCAAGCTCCACAGAGATAGCATCTGGAACACATTCCAAGACCCCTAGCTGAGGGTCTGTGTATTGTGGGCATCAGTTGGGGCACAGGTTGGGGGGGGTACTCTGGCTACTGCCTGCTTGGCTAATGTATCTGTGTCCATGTTGCCCAGTATTTATGGTCCCTACTGTGGACATCTGGGTCCCAGACGCCTTGATTTCTTCTGTATTATGTCAGCCTTGAGCATCAGCATTCCCACCTCCCTGAAGTAGATGCCAGGGGGTATCTGAAACCTTCCTTTGGTCTTTGGAATCCTGACTCTTAGGCTGGACATTCTAATAGCACCTCCTTGGGTGCGGATCTTGGAAACTTTAAACTGTCCCAGCCAGCCCCATGACAGACTCAGCTTCTGTGAGGTTTGCAAGGTGCCAAAAACATCTCGGGTGCTCCTGGAGGAGCAGCCAATAGAAGTTGCAGCCAGGACCCCTCCCACACACCCACCCCTGGTGGCATCCAGGCCTCCTGGCTCTCTCTCTCCCTCTCTCTCCCTCAGAAGAGACACAGAAGTGAGGACCCACAGTCTGGAGTCTGCAGAACCCTCTCCATTAGCTGTGTGGTTCTGAGAGAGACACCTCAGCCTCTCCAAAGATGATCTGGAGACAACAGCTGCTCCTTTCCTGCCTTTCAGCCATTGTGCTTCTGGCCAGTGAGTCTGGGACTGGAGTTAGGTGGGGCTGCTCAGGCGCCCCAGGTAGGGGGGCTGCATGTAGCTTGTGTGTGTGTATGTGTGTGTGTTGTGTGGGGGGGTAGGGGAGGAGGAGACAGACAACACAGAAAAACAGCTTGCTGTGCCTGATGGTTCCCTGGGGAGAACAGCTCTTGACTGGTCTGTGAGACACAGGTCCCAACACTGGGCTGTGGCAAGGAGAGTCTGGGAAGACCTGGCTGGCTTGGGCAAGGGCTCCCCTAGGGGAGCTGCAGCCTTCATCCAGTGCTCTCACCCCACAGTGATGCAGGAGAGCACTGGTGCATCTGTGGGCACCAGGCAAGTAGCTGGACAAGAGGCCCAGGAAGGTAAGTGCTGGGGCCAGTAAGGGGTGCAGGGTGGTGGGCTGACTCCTGCCTGGGGTGTCTGTGCTGGTAGAGACCCGCCTCTTTTGGGTTCTAGCTGTGGAACAGAAGATTTTCATGCAAGAATCAGATGCCTCGAATTTCCTCAAGAAGCGCGGCAAGAGATCCCCCAAATCCCAAGACGAGGTCAATGGTAAGCATGTCCGTGGCTTTCTGCTGGGCCCTCGGCTTCTCTCTCCTACAGTCAGCTGGGCTTTACTGAGGGCCTTCGCAAAATGACTTTGGCTCAGAATTAGAAATCCCTTGATTGCAGGCTGTGTATCAATTGAATCCACTAGGACACAAGCGGAGAGTGCCCATCATTTAGCAGTGATGAGGTCCATCCAGATTCCAGAAACTAAAATCACAAAGGGGAAACAGAGGCGCTAGCTAAGGAGGGGCACGGAACTACTGTATACAAAACCCTATATTCAAGAGCAGCATCATGCACCACAGCACAGATGGGATAGGAGGCTGGAAATGCAGGTTTGGCGACAGCTTTGCTGCTAAGTGATCTCAGCCACTTCCTCTCGGGCTGTCCAAGTTTCCTTACTTATAAACCCCTGAAAGTACCATGTTTAGCCAGCAGTGTTTAAAAGTTTTCATTTTCAATGCATTAGGGAGCTTTTGAGCCTAGAAGCTTCTCTTTGGCCTGAAGGTGTCCCCAGCCTGGCAGGCTCCACACATCTGACTGCCGACTCTTGCCTGTGCTGTCCCTGAACTAGTCTTCCAAGGACTCTCAGCTCTGACTGCCCCGACTCCCTGCCTGGAATCATGATTGTGCGTGTTATCTGAATAAACTCTTTGTGTCCCTCCCTGCACTCACTTGCTGGGAAAATAACAGCACTGTTTCCAAATGATGGGGAAGATGAGATGAAAGTGCTTGGAGATTATTTTTTTTTTTTTTTTTTTTTTTATGTCGGGTCAGTTCAACCTCTCTGGGAAAATCTCCAAGCTTCACACAGCCTGCGATTTAAGTCAGCAAATGTTAGGAGACACGGAAAGCTGATTGCAATAGATCATTCTTCCTGGAAATCAGGAGCAACCTCCTGGCAGGGACCCAGTGGAGGGCAGGTGTGGATTTAGGGAACAGTTTCCATCCCCACAAGTGGATCCAGGAGGCTGGTTAAACCTGAGGCCCTCAGCTTGGATAGAAGCTTATTACAGTCACAGGGGCCCTAAGACAGCCTGGTGACACCCAGGATTGCACCTGAGGGCAGTGGCTCTGTCACTTGGCTTACACCTCGGCAAGGGTAGAACAGCACTTGGTTTTCTCAGGCTGGATGAAGGGCAAGTGACACTTTGTCAAACTTCATTTTGGAATTTGGAAAGCACCTGACATCTCTGAGCTTCTGGGTAAAGATGCTGGGAGCTCAACTGATGAAGTGAGATTTCAGAAAGGCCATGTTAGCCCGAGGGTGCACAGCATACTGACAGCATCCTGTCCTAAGAATGGATTCTTACTCAGCGCTGAGTCCAAAGTCCAATTTGTTGCACTTCCAATGGGCGATGTGGGAGGATTTTACTGGCGTGCATAGGAATAGAAAATACTTTCAAAATTGCAGTGGCTATCAGAGCCACCGTCCTCCTCCGTCCCCACTGTGGCTCCCTAGATGGCACCTGGAGCCGAGATTCCAGAGGGTTGTAGGTGTGTTCTGGGCCTGGGCTGGAGTGTGAGCACCTGGGACTTGGGTGCCAGCCCCAGCTGTGACGTTGCTAGTTACTGTACCCCTGAGCCCAAACCCCTAAGAAATGTGTGGATGTGGAGCAAAAGGTGGGGCGTGGGGATGAGCTGGGGTACCAATTCCTTCAGACAAACTAAAGACGCTCGTAACCCTCAGGCAGAGCATGGGAAAAACACAGATTTACCTAAAGGATCTGCACTAAGAGCAATTCACAATTAACCTGAATTTAAATCTTGGTTTAATATATAAACATAAATTAGTAGAATTCAAATAATTTATTGTTTGCACTCCTTACCACGATTTGAGGTAATTTACTGTATTATCATTTTGCAAAAATACACTTTTTTCTCACTATACCTCTGTAACATATGATGGGGTTAGTGGGTAAAAGGTTTCTCATCAACCTGTTACCCACTTGCTTTTGCATACTGGAGTTGTTGGGGGCAACAACAGCACCTCCGTGTCCCCCCAACCCCACCTTTGATGTGAGGGAACTGTGTTCCTCCTGCCCCAGAGATGGCCTTCCTGCCTTCATGGACTTCTCCAGCTGAAATCCATTTAAAGCATATACCTTGAAACTAAGAGTTTTAATAATTTCCTCCAAATGACTGAAGAGGTCAATGTAAAGATTTAATGTTTTAACTTAACGTGAGACTAACTTAAAAAGTTGGACTATTCCCTCATAACTCACTCCTGATTTTCAGATTTCTAGTTCCGAAGTCGCCTCAGGTACTTGGATACAGCACCAAGTTTTATGAGAGGAGCTAAAGGTTTTTACCCTTTGGGGTCTCAATCTTCCCATTTCCACATGAGGCAATTGATGGATGACCTCCTTGGCTTTTGTTTAAAGTCCACGTCAAGAGTAAACGATTACGGGCAATGCCTCCCCTGGGCAAATGACTGGAGTACCCTTATATTTGGGTAGCTGCCCCTAGCAACTCTTGCTCTCCCCCTTTGCCAGCGGAGCACAGGCAGAAGCTGCGGGCTGATGAGCTACGGAGAGAATATTATGAAGAACAAAGGAACGAGTATGAGAACTTCGTGGAGGAGCAAAATGATGGTAAGAACTCTTCAGTCAGCGTCATTGGGATAGAGCTTTGTGGGAATTGCATGACTTGCTCCCACTTCTCCCAAAATTGGAGAGGTTAGTTGAGATGTCTGGGAGAAAAAACTTCTAGAACCTGGTTCTAGAACTTGAGAAGGCACAGATAAGGACAGAACACCTGAGTTAGCACTGACTAGGGACTGTGGTGCTGCAGGTACTGTTTTCTTCTCCCATTTGGGATCACTGAGGTGGTACGGATCCTCTTAAGTGCTTCAACTACAGGAGTAATTCTAGTAGCATTGGGCTGGATTTCAAAACTCCCTTTCAAATGCCTTGGATTCACATCAATGTAATGGCTCTAGGAACTATTCATCCTGGCCAACCAAGGATTCCCTATTTATTCCAGTCAGCATCTTAGCTCTGACTCGGGAGGCAAACCAGGAAAAGTAAACTCAAAAAACACTGTACTCGTTGCCCTGCCATGGATCCTTCCCACCTGTTAAGTGCCAACATCTACAGCCCACACTGACTTTTCAGTGTGAATCCTACCCTAACTGCTGGCAGTGTTCTTTGCTAAGCCTTGGCCTTTGCCACTTACTAACAAATAAAGGGACGGAGTGTATCTTATCAAGTCATCAGCAAAGTTCCACACAGCCCTCACCCCCTAGGCAGACTGAAGTCCCACCACCCCAGCCCCTAGGAAGTGTTTTCACCAGCTGGATCAGCAGCTGGACATAGTGACTGTTGGTAGCGGGAAGCATTTCTCTTTGAACTATAGATTGCCAGGAGATTGAATTTGACTTTGTTGTCTATAACATGCCTGTAAGTGCCACCCATAACAAAACCCCCAGGAATACTTTGTAGGGAGCAGGCCAGCAGTGCAGGTGTGTGTACATGTGTGCGTGAATGTCTTATGTCTCCCCCACAGTGAAATGGTTCTGATGTACACAGTGAAATGGTTCTGATGTACATAAGCTTGGACATTAAGGCTGTGGTGTAGGTTTTCTTTGTTAAAGAAAGTGCAACTTTAGTTCCGAAATCATCAGCTTGCTTGCTCTGATAGACTGGGGTGCTCACTCCCTCCTATGATGTCTCAGTGAGAAGAAACAATCCCCAGGTACCAGGGCTGCAGGCTGGGCCCACTGCCCTGCAGCTGGCACCTGGCTGAGCCCTGCAGACAGGTGTGGGCTTGGATCCCAGCAAATCAAACTTTCCAAGGAACATTACAGGAAAAACTCATTGTTGCAAAAGAGTCAAATATTTCTGGAGATTTATCTTGGTGAACAATTTTAGGAGAAACATGAAAAATGAGAATGTGGCCTCTAAAATTCCTCTAAGTATTTTTTCGTTCATTGTGCTAATAATAGCATTTTGTTTTGGGTATTTTTAAATATCTCTGGTCTAAATCTCTAGAACCTGGGTGGAAACATTCTTTCAGATGAATTAGGGTGAAGAGTTAGGCACCTAGGCGACGACAGATCTCCCACCAAAGCCAGAGGAGACTGTGATCAGGGACTCGGTGTCCCAGAGGTGGAGAAGACCTGGCATGGCACAGGCCTTCGGGGACTGTGCCAGCAGCTGCTGTGAGGAACACTGGCTCCATGCTGCATCTCCTGATCCTCAGATAGGCCTTACTATTTCCACTTTAATTTTCAAAACAGAGAAAAAATACAGTTAGTGAGGACACAGCTAGTGAAGAGTTTGAATTGAGGTGTGAGCCAGCAAAGCTGCAGTTCTTGCAAATGGAGGAAGATTACGGTGCAGACTTCCTGGAGCACCTCTGTGATCAGGAGCAGGGTGAAGAGGGTAGGGCTGAGGGCCTCTGGGGCTTGAAAGGAGGCAGAAAGCGAGCAGGCCCAACATGCCTGAGAAATGTCGGCAAAGGTGAAACTTATTCGTTTTCCTCCTCTTCTCTTGCTTCTGCCCTGGGAAAGGACTCTGCACGGCAACCAGGTTGTCTAAAATGTCGTTCTGTGGTCAGTGTCCATCTTGAGTGCTCTCCGAGGTCTGCAGCTATCCCTTTGCACAGGACCCAGTTGGGCATTCACCTGCTCCCCTGCTTCACAGAAGCAAATGCTAAGGGAGAACGACTGGTGGGCAAAGGGACTTGATTTCCATGGCCCTGAAGACCCCATCTCCAAGGCCCTAGTAGTCCCATCTCTAGGCCCTTCTATGAACTATCAGGGCAAAGGGGGTCAGGAAGGGCCAGAGCCTCATTCAGCTTTGCTGTGGCTCCCAAACCACTAGTTTCCCAAGCAAAAATGCCTTTCAATACTGCCCCAGCATAGGATACTAAGCTCCCACTCCCATACCGAGCACCACGTGTTGACACAGCTCTGCTTTGAGGTCATAGGCCTGGTCAGGTCATCCGAAGTTGGCTGCACAACACCTGGCTGAGTGAAGGAAGCCTGGTCATAGGTCATAGAGACCTGTACTTAGAGCAACATTAGCCAAGAATCAAGTCTTTACCAAAGAGGCCTTCCCTTTGTCTAAGTGAAATGACCTAGGAAGAGTTTGGTGTCACCTGGGAAGAAAATATAAACTTGTATTTTATTGAAAATCTTCTTTCAAGTTTGGCAAGAGTAGCTGGCCGACCTGGCCTTCTGACCCAGGTGAAGGCTAACCGCCGAGGCACAGCCTGGGCCTGACCTGAGCAGGGGGCTAGCACAGGGGCTCCAGGCCTCTAAGGGATTCAGGGTAGAGCTGGCTCCATGCTCACAGAGGGAGGAGAAACTGTCCCAGCAGCCACGGCACCTCTGTACCCAGAGGGGCCCTTCCTGCTGGCATCTGGCTGAGGACCACAGGTGCACTGTCTTGTCCATAGCCTGAGGCTACCAGCTCATCCTGTGAGCCCAGGGAAACAAAGAATGTGTTTCCCTCGCTTCAAAATCAGGAAGACCCACAATGAGAAAACAGAAGCAAGGAAGTCATTTTTTTTGTTTGTTTGTTTTTAACCCTTGACACTGTCTTCTACTAGTACTTCCCATGCTCCTGACATCTTTCACAAATGTTTAAAAAAAGTTGTAAAATCCATATTACATAAAATTTGCCACCTTAACCATATTAAGTAATTCCAAGGCATTTATATATCCACAATGTTGTCCAAAGACCCTCACTGTTCCCAAAACCCTGCCATGCCCTGAGAGTCTGCGCCCAGAGACTCCCCACCCCTGCACATCCAGGCAGCCTCTAACCCATTTTCTAGTAAGAATGGCCCAGCATTTGTCTTTTTGTACAGGGACACTTCATTTAGCGTATTTCAAGGTTCATCCATCTTTGTCACATTTATCAGAAATTCACACCCTTTTCTGGCTGAATCTATCTGGACACACACTATACATATTCATTTAGTTAGGTTGTGTTTGTTTATTTGTTCCTGTTTTCATTTTTAGGCACATAAGCTAAGAGTGAAATTTTTGGTTTATAATGTAATTCTATGATCAGAACATATCTGAATAAAATCAGACTTTTCTTACTTAGTAAAAATCTCCTGAAGTTCTCTTTAGCTTTTTACTATGAAATTTCTTAAAAACACAAAAAACAAAACCTCAAATCCCCATATAATCACTACCCCAAACCAACAATTGTCAAGGGTTCTCTGTACCCATTCTGTCCTTCCCCCTTTTCCAGTTAGCTTTCATATTTAAAGCTTAGAAAACAGACTAGTATAGAGAAAAAAAATTACTTCTTACTTGTTATGTCTCGGAGCCAGTGTCAGCTTACAGTTCCTGCCCCACTTGCTGGTTGTGCAGGAAAGAGAATGAACTAGAATCCAAGATGTCAGCCTCAGCTCTCTGGCCAGCAACCCTGTGCCTGTCACCTTTCTGGGCCTGATCCATCAAATGTGGCCTGTGGGCTCGTTGGCCCTTCCAACCTGACAGTGCGTGTGTGTCGCCGGGCACACAGGCGCGTGGGCTCCTGTCACCCCAGGGAGGGCAGACTGGATTGATGGCTCCCAGGTGGCATCCTCACCATCCTAACATGATGTCTCCTCTCTCCTCCCCAGAGCAGGAGGAGAGAAGCCGGGAGGCCATCGAGCAGTGGCGCCAGTGGCATTATGACGGTCTGTACCCATCATATCTCCATAACCACCATCACATGTGACCTCATCGCCATAGTCAAGATGGAGCTTGGAACATGCCCCAGCACAAGAGGCTCCAGCAACTGTCTCCCCTTGACACAGGCTCCTTTAAAGGCCTCTGCGTGAGGCCTGCTGTGGGAACACGTTTTTGTTCTAATGTATTAAAATATCTTGCCTTTTGCTTCTTTGCAGATGATTTTTTGAGGCAAACAAACACTGTTGGGGCTTCTTTGCACCAAAGCTACAGTGATTTCCCTTTGCTTAGCCATTGCTCCCCAAGCAAGACTGCTGTCTAACAGAACAATAAAAAGAACCACAGTACAGAGAAAAGGCTACGTGTTTGCTTCTAGCTTACAAATAAAAACACAGTGTCAAGTTTGTGTATTATCTTCTCACATCGCAAACTGAGTGCTGTCAACATGTCTCCCTGAGTGACAGCATTTAGGCTCTCAAAGTCTAGATTCACAGTATACTGCACAGCAGGTGTCACACAAACTAAAGAGAAATGCTAATACAACTGTTTCAGGTAAACAATTCTCTGAGCTGTTTACTGAACCAGAGCGCTCCCATGTCCTCTAAGTCTGAGTTCATCTGTGGTTTCTTAACTGCTTCAATCAGAGAAGTCAGGATCACAGCAATGCCAGCTGTACCTAGACTTGAAAGCAGGTAACACTTAGTTTGGGAGCACTTTGCTTTTCTTCACAGTGGCTGCATTAGTTCCCCAAGGCCGCCATTACACAGCATGACAAGCTGGTTGGCTTCAAATTTATCCTCTCGGCCTGGTGTTGGTTGTACAGTGAAGAACAGAGCTGCCTCCCAGATTTATCCTCTCAGAGTTCTGGAGGCTAGAAGTCGGAAATCAAGTTTTCAGCAGAGCCATGCTTTCTCCACAAGCTCTCGGGGTCGAGCCTTCCTTGCCTCTCCAGCTTCTGGCAGCATCAGGTTCTGAATAACTACCCAGCTTAGACACTTTGCGGTCAGGTAACGGGTGTTCAGGAAATTCTCCACTCCCCATTTTTCCCTCAAAAAGCCCTGTCTTCTATTTACTCACTCAGCTATGTGCTCACACTCACTGGACATCTTTGCCAACACTTCTGTAAATCCAGACAACAAATAACATTAGTGGAAAACTTGGGGGGGGAACCCTACAACACTATTCATGATGAACCCTCAGGCAAATCTCCCCTGCAGCTCTAGTCTCCAAATCAGACCTGCCTGGGTATTCCTGCATACACCACCTGACAATCATGTATTTTCACCCTCGGGCCTGTTTTCAACTGAAAGGCCCTAGGAAGCCCCCAGCTCTCCACAGCCCCATGCAAGTACCAGCAGCTTTACATTAGAATGTGATAGTGGAAGAAACCGGCAAAAATAAAAATATTCCAAGGCTCCAGTATTTCATGACTGTTTTTACTTATTACTGCTGAGACAGAAATTACATGGAATGAGTGAGTACTTCACAATGTTGTGGCCTAAATCTTAAAGAGAGAAAAGGACTTCCACTGTTTGCCTTCCTTCACCCCTAGCTCTGATCCCAATTAGAGATTACCAGTGGGGCAAGGCCAGAGATGTTCATTCCTCCCTCAAATTATGGGCAAGAGACACAAGCAAAAACCCCATGTACTTCCTACCACACACACAACAGTGGCAGACCAGGGAGCCTTAGCCTACCTGCTGGATAAACCCACTGGTTCAAAGCCTGCTCTCTTGGAGATGGGGCTCCTCACAGACTCCAAATCCCACACCCAGAGCAGAAATTCTTGCCAAGAGGTAGTAGAAACAGCACCTGCCTATCCTTAGCATGGCTACCAAGTGAAGCAAGAGATGATGAGACAAGGACTAGGAGACAGTCTTAATTTATTGCTAGCTAAGACCCTGTATCAGGACTGCAAGACACTGGGCCAGAGAGACATGTGAACTTGAACTCTATCCACACAAAATTACCGTACAGGTTAGCCAGAAGCCAAATGTCAAGAGAGGCCCTGAGGTCGGATCCAGTCCCTGACTCTTCAGGTTGATGACCCCAACTTGACACGGGATGTGTTTTTTACACACCTGGTGGTACAAGAGAAAAAAGGCAAAGCATTGCTTTCATCTCAGCCAGGAAATAGGAGGCAGTCTGGCTAGCATGGGTAGTGGTAACACACTCACAGGACTCTGGCCAGAGGGCAGCTCCTGTTTCCATGTGCCAGAAAGCAGGTGTGTGGCAGCCAATGTAGAATAAGGCAGCTGTACTACGCAGCCACCTGTTTCAAACAGGTGCTGTATCCACAGAGGGAACACCGCGCTACAGAGATGTAAAAAAATCAAGAATGGCTTGGAGAGGCCAGGTTAAAAAAGTGAAACAAAACAGCCCAGCTTTGTCTCTTCAATGGCCCTGCATAACATATTGGCTCAAGGTAAAGAACTCTCACAAACACAGTCCCACTAAGAAGTCTGTTACCTTGTCCTGCCCCCGCCACTAACAAGGGCTTCATTGTACCTCAGGGATTTCCAATTCCACCCTGAATTCCTTCATTAAAAGCCAGTCATAGTCATTTTCAGGCAGAGAGAAGACTGCCAAAGGTAACAGGCCAGGAATCCCGACAGTCACATTTAATAGGAAGTTAGTAATGGAGCGACCTGTGTATTCAGAGCCAGGCCTTGTCAAAAGTGTGGCCATAAGGGCATTCACTTATTTTTGAAAATTTAAAAAACTTGTTAGATGCTTTTTATCCATTTCATTTGACTGAATTACTGCCCTTCTAATTCATTTTCCAGCAATTATATCCTAAATCTTTGACAAGTTTTTCAAAAACAGCAAGTTACAGCTTAATCTCATGGTCTACAGAGTAAAATCCTCTGGTACAAAGAAATAAAGTGGCGCTCTCCTGCTCACTGTGACGGTGCAGGTGACTCTCTTCTTCTTTTTCCCTTTTCCTAATAAACCCAAACTTTTAAAATGTAAAAAGTCTCGCCTGCAGCTCCCCTCAGCAGTGTATGTGCTTCGTCAATCTGCCTGTTCTGCTCCCCACTGTCTCTGGTGAATCCTCTCACTGTCGTTGAACCTCTGACCTATATTCCAGTTCTGTATTTATAAACAAATAAATCTTTAAAAAAGAAAAAAAATGAACAAACAAAACAAAAATAAACTCTTACATTCTGACAACAGAAAGATGGCTACTAAGGGAAGGAAGACAGGGCAGGTCGGGGGGTGTTTAAAACCGGTAGGTAAATGGGGGACCTTTCTGGTAGTGCAACGGGTTAAAGTGCAGTGCTATTAAGCAATCCGCAGCCACTGCAGCACGGATCAATTCCTGGCCAGGGAGGTGACCCACATGGCGCGGAAGACCTCTCCTGTCTGGCCTGCTGCTCCCCTCAGCAGTGTACTTTGTCAGTCTGCCTGTTCTGCTCCCCACTCTGTCTCTGGTGAATCCTCTCACCGCCACTGCACTTCTGGCCTGTACCCATGTACAGGATATGTACCCTGTACATACCCATTATGTATGCATAAATAAATACATCTTAAAAAAAAGGTAAATAGTACACTGGTAGATGGAAATCTGGATGACGATCATAATGTAGATGTTGGAATCTAACACTGTTCACTTGACTTGAACTTCAAAACAAACAAAACCAAAAAACTCTTAGAATACAAGACCAAAATGGTGACCACAGGAGGGAAAGGGGGAGAGGGGCAAGTGAGTGGGACTGAGATGGCACTCATGAGGTGGCTTATAGGATGCTGATCTATACTGCAGCACACCTGAAGCACATGCATAATCACAAGCCAGTGACAATGCAGCTAAAAAAACACTAAGTCTTTGCTCAACACTGCTACAAACTTGGCTGCAATTCTGGTTTCAGCCTGTATTCTCAAATCTCTTAATTTTCTAATCTAGCCTAGTTTTAGGAAATAATACAGTCACTCATTATTTGAGGATTTCCTATCAATAAAATTCACCTACTAAAACTTATTTCTAACTCCAGAACCAATACTTGAGGGGCTTTCCTGGCCACACATGTGCAAAGCAGTGAAATGTCAGAGTTGCCCAAAGCGCATACTCCCAGCACAGGTCAAACAACGTGATGCTCTTGTGTGTTTCACACTCGCTATAAACAAGCGTCCTGTTTGTGTTCTGCTTTTCCCACTTTTGTGTGATTTTGATGGTGGCGGCGGCGTGCTCAAGTCTTGTCTTGCATAGCTTAGCGCAAGAAGGCTGTGGCGTGCCTCAGGGAGGAAAATACATCAAAGCTTTCTCTACTCAAGACCGATGTGCAGCTGGCTGAGATTTCAATGCTAATCATCCCTGTAGCAAATAAATGTCTGTACACGGAAACACACAAACAGTTCTGTACTGTTCCACTGAGAAAAACAGTTCTGTACTGTTCCACTGTGACAAGAAGCCTGGGGAACTGAATCTCCTTTTACCTGATGAGCGGCAGTGCCTATCTGCTAACTCATCAGTGGTGACGTTCGTTACAGGACACAATCAACTGAATAACAGGAATCAACTGCCTATGTTTCTAGTTCTTTTTATTCTTTCTTTGGTGAAATGGCTTTGAGTGTTTACCATCTTGACTACTGCTATCTAGTTTTTTCCTCCAAACTAGGCCACGTGCATGGTGTGGCCTGGGCAGGTAAACACTCGCTTCAGTTTTGATCCAGGTAGTTCACTGGGTGGTGCTACTTCTGGTGCCTTAGTTTTCAAAAATTTCACAGCATATTCACAAACTGCTGTCCACGTTAAGCTGGCTGATTTCTTTGGGGTCATCTGTTCTGTTCTTTACCATACCACCACTTCTTTCCTTGCACTTGGCAAATACAGAACTTCACTTGCTGAGTCACCCTGTGCTCTATCCAAATGTCCAGCCTGGTGTTAGAAATGCCTGTTTCACTTGGGAGTGGGAATCTGAGGGACTGTGATAACACCCAATGGGGTGTCCAAGTAGCCAGAGTGGACAAACGTGTGTTCTCCTGATTTTTAAAAATATTATCAGACATCTAGCCATAATCTACTATAAACACCAAGTTTTATTTTCATCACCATCAACTTCTACACAGAAACCCAATACATGTCATCTCTTCCTATCCAAAAAAAAAAAAAAAAAAAATCACTAGAATTATTTTATAAGTGGAAAATGAAAAATTTTTAGTTAAAATTTTTTAAGTTTTAAGTTCTCTTTGGGGGGGAATCTATACCAATTATTCAGAAGTTCCTCATTTGCTCTTTTGGAACACTTATCTAAAAAATTTTGCTTTTTTCTTATTGTTTGGGAGGGAAACTTATTTTAATAAAATCAAAAAGGTGGTTTTGCCTCCAACAGTGAAAAAGAGAGAAAAGGAAGACATCTAAAAAGAAAGGAAAATTGTGAAAGCCGCAACATTCCAATGACTCAGGTTCAACTATGACAGGCTGAGCCAATTCTATTTGCTAATTTAGATCAGTGTGTACTTACCCTGTTTGACAGCCTGTACTTACACAATAAACCCTACGTTGCCAATGACGGGGCAGGATGAGAAAAAATTTAAGCACACATTTTGGATTTACATGAAGCATTTAATACATGCCGATAGAGGGTAGGACTAAAAAGACCACTGCTGGTGCTGAATAATATTTTCAGTGTTAACAGGAAGCCCCCTTTCCTCCTCATCCCTGAATATACTACGAAAGCACACACACAAAGTACATCAAATCAAACACAGCCCCCAAGATCCAGAGTAACTGAGAAGTAACTCAACTATATTTGAAAATAATCTAAAAATTCTAAATTAAAATTTAAAAAAGGCGATTCAGCTGTCGGTGTTTACAATACTGCACTACTACTTACCTACAAAAGACACCTGGTGCCGGTGGGCGAAAGGAAGATTTCTAGGCAGGTGCTCCACTGCTGTTTCAAATTTATGGGACAAATAAATCTACTCTAAAAGTGCAGAGTTTCAAGTACCTGTTTGTTCTAATTAAAAATTAAACACTTAATGCTCTTATTAGGTAAAAAATTAACAAAACAAAACAAGCCTTCTGGATATGAAGTACTCCTTAAGGTACAGTGTTAGGATATGCACATAGCAGGGGACACAAGAATCACAGAGCACCTTCGATACATATTGAGCTACGTTTTATGAGATCTAAGGCATGCGAATTTTACTTCTGGATTATTAAAACCTAAATCAATTATCACCCACCAAACACTTCCTATAATTCCAAAGAATCCAACATAACACCATCTTGAGGAAACCAAATTTCTTTCTAACTAGAGTTAAAATCCCAATATAATCCTGACAATTTACCCAATTCTTTAGGTGCTTATCAGCATTCATTGGCTCAAATGATATTTGGAAAATCAGCTTGCCCAAGCAGAGGAACCCGTTAAATGGGAGTTTTTTGTGCTAATTTATGTGGGGTTTGAACTATAATTCTTATGTGTATAATAAAGAATACCTGCAAATCCAAATTCCATGAAGTTCTGTCTTATCTGCTATATTATGATTTTTAATCATGCTTCATGACTTCTTAAATTTTACATTCAATTTGGTTAGAGATTTTAGTGTCTTTAAACCATACTTTAATGATGAGATTTTAGGTAATTCTATTACAGAATCTGTGATACTATAAGGACACAGAGAACCATACAGATATGAATTGAAATGCTAATTCAATGTCAAGGAACAAAAAGAGAAAATGGGACAGAAGGAACCTGGTCTACAGTATTAATATATCAAGATGATAACAAGGGCAATAATCAGAATTAGCTAGTAAGTTACATTGTTTGTAGAATTTGAGAGTGAACAATGCACTTCAAGATCATTTAGTTCAATCACTTTCATTTTGTACATAAAGACAATGAAACCCAGAAATTAAGTAACTTATCTGGGGCACATTAAGTTAATTCTCTGCCTCTAGTGTCCACGTAAATACCAGAACTTCACTGTGATAAAACACCACGCTATAAAACTTCACAAACCAACAGATGCAGAAACACAGCTCTCAATTTATCTTCCAGTTTTGGGGGAAATCATGTGACGGGAGAACAGGGAAAACAATATCTTCATTTTTCCATTTAAAGGTAAAACGTTAAACTGTGTCAATCAACATAATTGAAGAAAGTAAGTAGAGAGGGCTATTAGGTGTAACAGAGTTGTTCTGTCAATCAGGAACATAAACCCTATAGGGCCAATACCTTGCTTTTCCAGAGTCACAAGGAGCATTGTAAGTTGTGCATACATGTCTGTAGGCAGTGCTATTTAAGGCTATTCAGAAATTTGGCATGTTCTTCGCCTCTTGGTAATAAGGTTTCTCCTCCTATCTTTGGACCTGACTTTTCCTAGAAAAAAGAAAATATTTCAATAAAAAACAGGTCAACATTATTTGCATGGATTACTAAAATTAGTTACCTTGTAATTGACATACCTTTAGCATTCCATCCCGTTCCCATTTGAAGAGGCCACAGTTACTGAAACAGAAGACATAGGATTTAGTCAGGGGTGAGGTGCAGACCTGCATAAAGACATTGCTGCTCATTGCATCCACCAGATGCTGATAGAGGGACACTCCTACTGCAAGTTACACTCTAATGCTACTGGAAACACATTTTTGAATTTTTGAATGATTGATGGTCTTCAGCTCTGTAGTAAGCTAGATACTTCAGAAATGGAAGTCCAAGCGAGAACACAACAGGCTGTGCACACAGGAGCGACAAGTGCAAGCCTGGCTCCCCCTGATGGTGGCTGGGTGACACCAGACTTAGGATGTGTGTCTCTGGCGCTGTGCAGTCATGGTCTGCCCCTCTCTTTGGCTGGAACTAAAAGGCTGTCATAAAAAAGGATTAATCTTCTGGGTCTGAATATCCCTCCCTCCCTTCTTTATCACCATAAAATAATAAAATAGACTTACTATTAAAATATTAATTTCTATTTTCTAATGTTCCATTTTCTAATGTGAGGGGGGTGTTCAACCATAAAGGAACGTGGCTACTCTGGGGAAAGCTTATTTTCCACAAAGTTTACTCTGAGCAGAAAGAAATGAAAAAGGAAAACAAGAAAGGTATGGCACTACCTTGCAATGCCTTTAGATATGAAAGGGTCTGGACACGGTGGTCACGGTACCTGGCCTAACCTTCTAACTAATGTAGCTCAGAGTCTCGTGCCCTGACAGTTAGCATGCCAGAGGCCTTGGCCTCGAGCCTTTCTACCCCTCCTCTGTCTACTGATAGGTTCAGTGTCTACTGAAAGAACTTTAGCAGCTAACTGGTAGATGAATGGCAGGATTATGAAAATCACTGTTCTCACCAGGGCTTAACAAATCACAATCCACAGGGCAAACCCAGCCTACCACCTGTGTCATACATTTGGTTTTATTGACCTGAGCCCTGTGAGTTGACGATTATCTATGGTTCCTCCTGTGCTGCAAACAGTGAAGCTGAGTAGTTACAAAAAAGATTCTCTGACTACAAAACCTAATATACTTACTATGTGACATTCTATAGGAAAAGTGTGCCTACTCTTGCTCTAGCTCCCTGGTGGTTCAGGGTTATATACACAGTGCTATTAAGCTATTGCCAGCCATTGCAGGATGAGTTCGATCCCCCAGCCAGGGTGTTAGCCCACATGGCACAGCAGACCTCTCATGTCTCTCCCACTGCTCCCTTCAGCAGATCTATCTGTTCTGCTCCCCACTCTGTCTCTGGTGAATTCATTCATCCCCAAACCTCTAGCCTAGATCCTGGTTCTTCAATATAAAAATTAAAAACTTTTAGAAAGCCATCAGAAAAAACTTCCATTATTTGTGAAGGATCATCTACCTAGAGAAACAGACAAATGACTGGAGTAAGCATTCAGCAAGATTGTCAGAGGCAAGATCAAAGTACAGAAAAGTTAATGTTTCTCTACAGCAAAACAAGCAACTAGAAAATAGCAAAAAATTAGTTACCATGTACAATTACATCAAAAACTACAGCACACTGAAGAAATAACTAAGACTACTCAATGCCTCAGGGGCGACCATTATAAAACTTAATAAAAACTGTAGATGATGACATGAATAAATGGACAGACACTCCATGATGTGAAGATACCAGTGCACTGCTAAAATTGTTTTACTCTTTTCTGCAATCCTAACCAGAACTGTTGTTTCTGGGTGCGCTAGCATCCTGCAGAGTCCAATGTTCTGTTAGAACAACAACTACAAAAACCGAATGCATACAGAGAAATCAGGTATCTATCTGTAAGTGAGGTAAGCTGTTGAGGCAAGAATTAGGGGATTTGACGGTGGAACCTTGAAGGTTATGCTCACTTCTGTGGCCACTTTTGCCCCAGGAGTGATCTAGGCGTCCAGAGATAACAGGGGAGGGGTGTTGAGCACTGGGCACTGTCATTGGTGGGAATGACAGATGTATACTGAACAAACAGGCACCCTAAAACCTGACCCCAGAAAAGACACGTATGACACTCTAGTTTTTTACATAAAATAAGAGCAAATGCATATAAATAGTTTGGCGGAAGGTGATAAAAAGAACATAAATAAGATGACAAGGGTAGGCGCTGAACAGGCCAGTGATGGATGATGCACCCCAGGTGTGATCTACCCACCATGAACCCCCAGAGTGTCCTCCCTTTGTGTTCTGTGGGAATGATGCCTCCTGTGAATAGTCTAGCAGGGCAGTTTTATGTCTGTATTTGAAGTCCCACCAAAAAGTAGAATCAAAATCAGACCCTAAAATCATTTTCACTCAATAAAAATATTTAACAAATAGCTGGAGTGGAGGTAAAAAAGTCCCACAAACACACTTATACTCCCCACGCCCACCCAACCCACACCTCTTACTTATTCAGTGAATGTACTGGAGGGCAGGTTATAGGCTCTATAGTAAGCACTGGGCGTAGAGAGTTGGGAAGGGCAGCTCCTCCAGGAGCTTCTGCATGAATGCACAGGAATCAGGAAGGTCTGACCTTCACAAATAAATACCCAGTGTGCCAACAAGCAGCAATATACCCTGGTGAAAGGGGTGAAGACCCTAGATGAAACTGAGACCAGGTGAGCTGCATACCTGCAGTGCTTTTTGGGGAGTCTGTCAAGGGAGATACTTCTATTTCCACAGGGGCACTTGAAAAACCTCTTCACTCCGTCATGCCAGTGGTAGTCATGCTGCTCGCTGACACATGTCTCCAGAGGTTTGAAGTGGGTGTAGGCGCACTGTGTAAAACCAACAGAGGCACACACTCAGCCGGGGCTTTGAAGGAGAACGGGGTTAGCTGTCGTGAGCACAGCTGGGAGAACTTCTCTTCTTTCCTCACAACCAGGCAACTGCTGGTGGAGTCACCTTATCTACCAGAAGGCGTGATCACCTGATTTACTGAATTTACCCTGAACTGATACCAGCATTCTCACATTTGCCCCAATTTCTGTTCAGGCACAAAGCATACAACTTTGTATGCAGTATTAAGTACATACTGCCTCATGACAGTATTAAGAACAGAGGAACTACTGGAATTCTCTCAGTTATTCAGTTGGCCTGTCCCGTACTCAGTGTAGTCCTTTGCTTATAGGGTACTGGGGTGTGGAGACTATTTGGGAAGGCTGATTGGGGCTCTCCCTTTTTGTCTTAGGAGGCCACTCAGAGAAGCCTTAGGTGATTTATTTTTACTTCCATTTCATAAGTGGAAAAACCAAGACAGAGCTAATAAGTAAGTCGCTTTAAATTCTGATCTGCATAGGACTGAGAATAAGAAATGGGTGTCCTGCCAGGTCACAGCAGCACAAAACGGGCCTACAGCTACATCCCTCTTCACTCACTGTCTTGCATGTCACTACTCGACATTTCACTTCTCTGATGTTTCTCATCTTTTCTTCCATTTGTTCTTTTTTCACCAGTGGTTCAAAGTAACGTTCCTGTAGTTCAGCCTCGGCCTAGAATGACAAGATACATGGAAGATGTTGTACCAGGTTAAACATATACTCAGGCAACAGTTCATACTCATCACAACAGACTGACGAGACAGGCTGTTATGAAGTCACTTGATAAACTAAACCAAAACATGATAGTAAATAAACCCTTAATATATTAATACGAAGGAGGATGTATCACTTGGTGATCTTAAAAACTCTAAATACAAACTTAAAACACTAACATTACTAACACCACGCCAAGTCACAGACTCAGGCTATGCAAATATTCAATGCCCCTGCCCAGTGATGTGAGCTATGCAAATATTCAATGCCCCTGCCCAGTGATGTGAGTCTATTCCAGATCAAACACTTGTCAGGAATAAACCCTGGGTGTCTGGAACAATAGGGAGTAGTGAGGGCAGAAGCATTCAGACAGGATGTGGTTACAGCTCTGGAATTAGTCCAGTGGCTCAAAGCAGGAGGCACAAGGACCCAGGGTCTTTGGTGGCCACAAAAGACAAGAAGCTCAGCTCTACAGCCATTCCGGGTCGGCTGGAGCATCCCTCCTGGCAGTTTCACATCCCCCAGGACATGATCTAGAACTAGCTCACTGGTCCTTTGATCACCAGTGAGCTAGTTCTAGATCATTGTAACAAAAACAGAGTATTGGCACTAAACGGGAAACCCAAAGGCTATCAGGAAACTGCTATCCCAGTGACTGCTACTGGCAGGGACCAGGGATGCTAAATCTTATACAACACATGGAGCAGAGCCCATTCAACAGGGATTCTTCTGAATATTCCAGAGGGCATCCACAAGGATGAAAAACCCTATTGTAACACTAGCACCTAACTGCTTTATGTAAAACCCTAGTGTATTTGTGCATGATAAACACTGACTTTTCCAAGAACAAAGGCAGGCAACACTAGTATACATGTAGAGACAACTATACTTAGGTGTATTAAAAGTTTTCCAGAAATAGTCACTTTATTTTTTAATTCACATTGTCAAAAGACATAGGCCCACAGTATTTAAGTGACCACGAAAAGCAGCTATGGGAGGCTCCTTTCAGGCTCATGTACAGTAGGAAATCCAAGCCTCTCATGACTTTACTTCTCTAAAGGAGTTGTCTCCATGTACAGAAATAATGACATACATTTTTTTTTTTTTGCTATAACTATTTCCCTTTTTCTCTTTATATCTGGGATATTAAGTTGATATTCCTAAAATTACTATGTAGGTAATCAATACTACCAGCAAGATTTATTTCAGGATAATAAGGGATCAATACAAAATGCTTGCTATTAAAAATGGTAATGTTGGGTTGTTAAGTACTGATTTAGAGCATTTGAAATACTAATATAAAAATATTTAAATAAAAATACCCCTTTTCATATTGTAAGACAGAACAGAGATAGCAGTGTCATTCAGTCATAACTACATGTAAATATTTTTGTAATAATGACAACTTAAATATTAAATGACATTCTTCAATCTAAGGACAAAGGCAAAACTGAAAACTAGAAATACTCCTGCTCTACAAAGCAAACTCAAATTGACATGTAGCTACAACTTAGTTTAGGTAAAAGAACTAGGTGCTTAGTTCCACAGCAAAGCACTTCCGGTCTAAGGACACCTCTATCACCTGTGGTCTTTTGGCCTTTTACCTCTTTTAGAATCCCTGTGTGCTTAGATTTTGCTTTTAGAATTTTCTGAAACTCCTCGGATTCCAAGTAGGCAAGTTGGTCTCTCCTTTTTTTTCTGGCAGGTTCCAATTCATTCTCAGCTACAGCAAAAAGGGAAAACATTTACTGCTATAGAAGAATTTCAGAAAGCAAGTACACCTCACCAACTCAGCTTCCCTCTATTATCTGCCTCGGCCACCAGGCCCTTCACACTTAGTTCGCCCCCCTGGGTAAAGTGAGGGGTGACTATGGGGAAACAGAATACTGGTGGTGGTGGGGAAAAAGGGGATGTTTGACTAGTGGATTACAATCCCTTTGTCACTTTAAACAGGAACTGATTGTGATAACAGATAGTAACAAGAAAAGTCCTAGTTACAAAGTGATGTTAAAGTGACACTATCAAGTTTCAAAAATAAAAATAGGACAAAACAAAAGAACTCTAGTTATTTCAAAGTAAATCTTTACACATGTGCAAAGACCCAGTGAATAATCTTTTTCTTAAATTTTCAAATGGTACATAATTTCATTTCACTTACAAGCGACTATAAACACCCTCAGTTCCATCTGCAGTTTCTATGTAGGTATTCCATACAGAAGTTATTCAAGGAAAGTAATGAATTCTGATGCCAGCAGCAATGGTTATAATTTAGAACATTTCCTTTACAAAGGTTTTGCTTCCCCTTGCTACTTTGAAATTGGTAGTACCTTGAGGAGAAAGCGTGTTCTTTTCAACACGTTCCTTCATTTCCAGAACATCCTGGGGGGCCTTTGGCTTCTTTTTAATGGTGTTTGGATCTGTTTTTGTAAGAATTTGGCCTTTTGCCCTTAATTTGGTGATAGCTGCTAACTAGGAAAAAACAAGATGAAGGTAAAAATCTAAAACACAAGACACCCCTGTCCCATTATTATTAATTAAAAAGCTCCAGATTTTTAAATATCAATAGTTTAACATCTTCTAGACCCTTAGAAGGACCACACAGTTCAAGGTTTTTGTAGAATTAGAATTAGGACAGATTTGACACTAGTTTGTAACATGATTTTTTAGCTTTAGTTTTGACATTTGTATAATGGGAATGATAGCAATGACCTATCTTTGAAGTTGCAGCTGTGGGGATAAAATGAGATAATGCATGTGAAGCATGACCTTTTACATAGTAAATGTGTGCACTTTTTTTTTTTTTTAACCAGAATAACAGTAACAAACATGTGCATTCGTTACTATTATTATTACCATCAGTGTGGTTTTGACTTACAGCTAGATTTGCTCTTAATGTTGTAACTATTGTTAACTAGAGCAAAGAAAAGAGAGGTTCAAGCTGGGGTCAGAGTGATGCAGGAAGGGAGAGGTGGAATATGTTGAAATGATAAGGGCCTGACTAGTCCAACTCCCACTTCAATCAGAATACCTGAGCTTTTACCTGTTTACAGAGTGGGCTGCTGTGTAAAATTTCTTTTAAAGAATTCTTGCAGGGCCCTACCTGGTGGAACAATAGGTTAAAGTGCAGCACTATGAACAAAGCTAGCTGCAGCCACTGCAGCACAAGTTTGATCCCAGACAGGGAGCTACCCACATGGAGCAGCAAACCTCTGCTGTCTTGCCTGCTGCTCCCCTCAGCAGTGTACTTCATCAGCCTGCCTGTTCTGCTCCCCACTGTCTCTGGTGAATCCTCTCACTGCCCCTGCACCTCTGGCCTGTACCCCAGTTCTGTATGCATAAATAAGTAAGTCTTTGAAAAAAAAAAAAAAAAAAGAATTCTTGGAACCACAGTTTTATAGTCTTGAAAGAATTTTTAATTTTTCCCCCTAAGGCCAACGTCTCCAGCTATTAGCCCGACAAGAAACAGCACAGAGAGGATGGCTAATTTTCTTGGATTGAATTAAAGGCATTATTATGTTGACACTTGTATCACTTACAATCTTCTTAAAATTAATTTTCATGATCAGTCAATAGTTATTAAGTGTGTACTGTTCTCAGTCAGAAGTACATAAAATTAGAAATGCCAGTTGTGTCCTACAAAATGCTATTCCAAGTTCTGAAGAAAATAGACACCACTTACTTTTTTGGCTTCTGCTAAAGCACTCAGTCTTGGTTTTGGTAGTGGTGACTCATCAAAAAAGAGGACATCATCTCCTTCTGAGATGCCTCGCCCAAGTTTGGGTGTCTGTCGAGAAGGTGGCATTGCCGAGCTCTTAACCTCACTTGAGCTTTGAAGAAATCTTTAAAGAAACACGCAGTCACAAAACATGGAGGAGGTACTTTACAAAACTGAACACTACATTTGGGAACAGAATGCCTGCTGGTAGACACCGGCTGATTAGTGGTTGGCAACCTCATTTACCCCATGCTTTGTAGTTCAGGTTAGCATGCCACTACTTCAGTAACTCTCCAGTAAAAGCATTTTTCAGGTCCTCCCTGGTGGTGCAGCAGGTTAAAGCACAGCACTGAGAAGCTAAAGCCATTTCCGCATGAGTTCAATTCCCTCCTGCCCGGGAAGAGACCACATGGCGTGGCAGACCTCTCCTGACCTGCCCGCTGCTCCCCTCAGCGGTGTACTTCGTAGATCTGCCTGTTCTGCTCCCCGCTGTCTATAGTGAAACCTTTCGCCGCCCCTGAGCCTCTGGCCTAAACCCCAGTTCTGTATGCACAAATAAATAAATCTTTAAAAAAAAAAAAAGGATTTTTCATTAAATACTTTCTAATTGCTTTACCAGCTTAGACCTGGTAATCATTTTTCATCCTCTGGCTTTCCAGTGGGTGCCATGTGTAGTTCCCAGCCCTCAAGTTTGGAGCCTGACTGTATTTCATGATCAATAAATAGCCATCAGGAGCCTGTTATTTCTAGTCAGAGGACCTCATGTATTTTAGTTTAAACTACAGGGAAGAAATGACACACGTAACAACAGTGCTATTACCTCTTTTACAAAGAGATGCTGTCATCTACACAATGATTACTTTGGGTATGGCTTTTAAAGGCTACTTAAATCAGACATCCCTTAGTCCAAGCCTCTCATTTTATAAATGAAAAAAAAAAGAAGAAGCCTTAAGCGACAAGCTCAGGTTTAACACCAGCTGCTGCCAGGACGATACTTTCTCCACTACTGCATACTCTACTCTTGAAGTTCTGGCCTGAGTTTACAAAATGCCTTTCAGATTCTGCCCAAAGATACACTGGATAGCAAAAAATTCAAATTGTAATGCCATTAGACTGACAAGTTCTTTATTTTTATTACTGTTTATTGTGAACATGCCTCACAACTTCACACGTTTTTATTTCTGCATGTGTGTATGTATATGCTTCCTGCAGGTACCTGATGATGCCTCTAACTATCCCAGTAGCACCTCAAATTAACCTGCCTGAGGTCAAATTCATTTTCCTCTGGGCATAATAACTGATTTTCCTCTCAGGGAACCACCTACCTTTCAACAGCCCAGACTTAAAAGAGAGTGTACCAGTGCAACTTCAGAGTAGAACACTCCCCAAAGCCCCTGGAGTTCAGCATGGCTCCATCATCTACTAGGTTCTTTGGCTTCCAGTTACATCATTTGTAAAACCAGGGTAACTCCTCACAAGGTTGTCTGAAGACTGAGTGAGAGACCCTGCATTCACGCAGCGCAGAGCATGGCGCCCAGCCAGCCATCTATAAACAGTCGCCCCTACTACTACTCGGATGACGGGAGCCCTTCAATTTCTCCCTTCTTATATCCATTTCCACTCGGGTCTAAGACAACTCCATTTTTAGTGTCTCATTTTTATCTTCTTGCTGGCTCTGCCTATAACTGAATGTCTAATTCTGGCAAAATTAAAAAGCAGAGCCAAACATAAGACCCTCTTCTTGAATTATTCCTTTCTCCTTTTCAGAGAGATTCATTAGTGCAATCTACACCACTTGGGCTCAGGACTCATTAGCATAAGTTAGAAATATATAGCTTTAAATGTTAATTAGGTTAAAATTATTTTAGAACTTTCAAAGATATAAATGTAACAGCCATCCAAAATCTTAAGTAGCATTTTTGAATCTATTAAGACATTTTCCTAAGATTCCTAAGATGAATTATCTAAACAGGAAGTATAAAATCTGTTACTCTTACCGTTTCTGAATTTCCTCTGATTTCTTTTTCCTCATCTCCAACATATGCTGCTTCTGTTGCTTCAAGAGGGCTGATGCAGAGATAGACTGGATAGAAGGTTTCGGGTTCCCCAGGATCCCTAAAACACAAGTCACAGACTGAGGGTTCTGAGAGGCTATGTGAATTCAGGTGTGGACACTAGAGCAGGTATAGGTTATTTCTACCTGCTGACTTGGCTTTGGCTAAATGTTGTTTCAAGTTTCTGGCCCCAAATGTAGGCAAGTCCATCAATTCCTTGAATTCCTCAGAGCAAGACAGGCTCTTCTGAGGTATTCCTAGAATATACAAACATTAGCTTTAGAGGATTTAAAATTCAGACCATTAGATGTCATGTGACTTATCACTCTGAATTTGTAACTCAGTCATTTGTAAACAAAGTAAGTGGAACATTAAAAGGGAGAAAATCCTTTATTTCTAACATAAGGTTAGTATGTCTGGAAGAATAAGACAAATGTATCTTATTTCAAGTTACAATTAGAATATTAATTCTGTACACTACTTCTGGACACGTTGGGCCAGAATTATGAATAAAATCACAGGCATAGGATGGAGGTGGTATTCTCTTAATGAAAGATAGCTTTGACATAGATGTGATATTACTGAGTCTAATGCCTGGACATTAAGATTTCGGCACAGAGATATCAATTTCAAAAGCAGAATAAGCTAAGACACAGGTGAGAGTAACATCTGTTTTTGCCTTATTATGTTTAATATGATGGAGCCAAGCTTGATCCTATATTACTTGGTCAAATATAGGTGATGAATAGATATTTATAACTTCAGAGTATGAACTATTTTCAACTTTAAAAAATACATATTTAAGCTGAAGAAAAAATGCAATATGACAAACAGTTACCAAGTTTTCTTTGTGTTTCTTCAATGACCAAGTCTGCACCCTTCACAACCAGATTAGTCAGAGTGGTTTGAACCTTCTTTTTAGGAGCGACAGCTGCAGCACTGAAATGACAAGTCACCCCAAAGAAAATCACTGAACTTTAACGCACTGATGAGGCAAAGCACACCTCCAAGAACCCACTTATATCAAACTGTCTAACTTTCTCAAAGCAGGGCAGATGCTGACGGCTTATACCATGGCCTCACTGCACAGCTGGTACACATTATGTCACAATGCAAAACGCAGGCAACCTACAAATCTACTCGAGGCCATTCTGAAAAGGTAATTTGACAACAGAAGAAAAAATAAGCCAACACTTTGAACATAATTAAAGATTACTCAAAAATTTAGGATATTAGTGGTTTTGTTCGTATTGTTACAGTTGAATATACTGTTGATGTTTAAACACAGGTGATATTGACACAAACCCTCACAAGCCATGTAAAAGAACACTATGTAGTCACTAAAAATAATGCCGTAAGGGAATATTTGACAAGGCAAACATTATTTCATGTGATATATCTATATATCATTTATATTAATAGAAATGTATACATATGGAAAAAAGGAGCTAACAGTTATGTAGGTGGCAGGATTACAGATGGTGTTTATTGTTTGCTTTTTGCTGACTTATACATATATTTATAATGTATATGTACTGCCTTTTACAATTTGGAGAAATAGGACTTTAAATCTTAAAAATGTGCTTGGCACTATGAAATAGAAAGTGAATTCCCTTGTCCAATTTTTGTTGGATTGGAAACAAAATCTGCATTTTGTGCTTAGGCCAATTCTAATGTCAGGTGTCCACCTGTTATGTCCTCAGCTTTTAACAACATGGCAATCAGTTTTTCAACTACTTCTGGGGCTCTATGGAGAGCCTGTGGTCCTGGAGAGGCCAAGAACGCCTGCCTAAGCTGAACCCCACTGCCCTGTGTGAGGTTTCACAGCCTGTTCATTCGCTGATGAAATGGGATTTCAAAGAAGCCAGTAGTTTCACCATAATAGCTGCAAGAATGGATTTAAAGGATGCCAACAGTATGATTACAATCAGCTCTGACAAATTTATACTGTTCACAATAGGAGCCAGAGACAATGTGGCTTTATGTTAAAGACCATCACGACATAGGCTCATTTCTAGTCTCCCCTCCTGTGTTATCCTCTCTACCTGGGATACAGAGGTCTTTGTCTACTTCATTCCAGGCAAATAATAAAAGACCTCTACAAGACTTCCAGGACAGTTACAGACGTACAAGCTTATGGCAGGCATGCAAAATGTCTCGAAAGAAGCCCTGAGAATGACTTACATTGAGGCTGCATATGATTCCGAAGAAACTCCTCCATAGTAAAAACCATTCTGGCACAGCCGTTCTTTTAGGCTGGTGCCCTTACGGGCAAACTTCTTTGGAATGCGTCCACCGGAGAAAGTGGACTGCAAGTCGGAGCGCTTTGCACTCAGTTTCTTGTACTGGGCCTGGATGTGATACTGGCAGTATTCACAGTCATTCTGCAAAAAAGGAAGAGTGGAGGCATGAGAAATAGGAGAAGCAGTGGGAAAACTGTAAGTAGACACAGGTTTTCTTCCAAGCTTCACAGAGCACTATCCTGTATGCAGACCCCTCCCAGCTGACCTCTAAGGTTGTTTCTGAAGTGTAACTATGCAGTGACTAGGGGGGAAATGTTCTTCCCTTACTTTCTACTTAAAGCACTTGTTGGTTAAAAGAAAAAGGAACTCCTTCTCTCTGCGCTCTTTCTTCAATGGGAATACTATCAGTTTTTAGGATGAACCTTGAAACTCTACTGTAAGCAAAGGCACTTGGACAAAAAGTCATGTGTTGTGATTTTACCAGGTATTTAGAGCTGGAAGCCCACAGATACAGGAAGCAGATTAGTGGTCACAGAGATGGTGATAATGGGATGTGACTACTTATGTTTCCAGATGAAAAGGTTTTGAACCTGGAGATCTGATGGTTGCCCAACATTATGAATACACAAAGTACCACCAAATTGCAAAGATTTAAATGGTTGACTGTATGTTATATAAATTTTATTTTCAGTAAAATGAATTCAAAAAGTTAACACCAACTTCCAGTGAGGTTTCTTTTGTTTACTCTTGGTTTCACCTCTCACTGAAAGGAACAAAGAAACAATGGTACAACAGTTCTATTGGATAAACCCTTAGAAGTGTTGACAATGGATTTTTTAAAAAATATTTATTTATTTATACATTCTGAACTGGGGTATAGGCCAGAGGTACAGGGGGTGAGAAGATTCACTAGAAACAGGGTGGGGAACAAAACAGGCAGATCTACTGAAATACAATGCTGAGGGGAGCAGCAGTGGGTCAGGAGAGGTCTGCCGTGCCCTGTGGTCACCTCCCTGGCTGGGGATCGAACCTGTGTTGCAGTGCCTGCGGATAGCTTTATAATGCTGTGCTTTAACCTGTTGCACCAGGGAGAGCCTGACAATGGATTTTTGATGATTGGCTAGATCATTAACAAGGGTTACCTAAGTGGAGAACAATTAAGCACCTCACCCTGAGACCTCTTTTCCAACTATCTCCTTTGTAGCTCCTGCTCATTAGTTCGTTTCTTAAAGCAAGAATGGTGGAAATAAACTAAATGAAACCAAAACCTGACATTTGGGCCCACAAATATTAAGAAACTGGAATCTGCAAGTATTACTGGTGAGAATGTAAGTCATTTCAAAACCTGAATGTCAGTTCCTGAAAAGCCTAAACAGAGTTCCCATCTGACCGGCAATCCCACTACCAGGAGAACTGAAACACATCCACAGAAAACTCAAATGTATATTAGTCATGGTCATAATATAATATTAGCATGGTCATAATAGCCAAATCTGGAAACAAGCCAATCATTCAGATGACAAGAAAAGATTACTTTACCAGAGGGTAAAACCTCATCCACCCTCAGCTTTTTAAATCAATAATTTTTAATTACATGTACAAGTTTTCCTTTCATTCTTCCTGGTATGTAAGAAAACTTGGGTACAATTTCATTATTTATTACTACTAGTTCTTTTCTTTAGCATAAACCACACTAAGAAAGCTGAAACCAACCAAATTAACAGTCTGGGTACATGGTTCTCCATTCTTCTTCTTTGCTTTACAGGTTCCCAGGTCGAGAGCTTCACCCATAATTAAGATCTTTTGAGGATGATCAATAGATAAGCACACCTGTAGAAAAAAGATGAGGTCAGAGTTAAAAGCAGACAAAGGTACTAGTCTTTTAGCCACCAAGAATGGATGAAAGAATGGTTGGTGTGGGTTAAGGTTTACTAAGCTCTAAAGAATTTGAAGCCATTGTGCCATAAGACAGCTTTAGGAATGAAGAGATACAGAAGATACATGTAGTTCTCTATGCAAAATCCCTTCTCTCCTGTCTTTGCTCTCAGATCCTGGTTTTATCAGGGCTGGCAAATGGCCAGATGGAGGTGGTAGAGCCTGCTGTTTTCCCAGTATTCCTCTAGCTAGTGAAGATCGCACAAATAAGTTGTGGCCAATGAGACTAAAGCAGAATTCCACAGGGAGCGAAGCTGGGAAATTTCTTGCTTTTCCGATATAAGGAGATGGAGGAGGTGGGCTCCCTGTGTCTCGCATGGAGACATGATGGCCAGCAAGTTTCAGTGCCATCTGTGACCAAAAGGAAAGGCTGAGTCTCACAACACAGGGCATGACATCACTACACTGCTAAGTCTGGATTTTTTTATTATGGAAGTACAAGTCCAACTGTTTACTGTTGAGGATAACATAGTGAAACTTTCCAGTTCCTTTTAACCAGCATATTCCGAACCCGCACATGGCTTACTGTCATTCTCTAGTGAAACCTGCGGTTAAGTAACAGTCTTTCACTCCTCCTGACAGTAATAACCGTGTCCTTCAGAGCAACATTTTTTGTTGGGACTGGTGGAGATATGGTTGGTTGCTATTTAGTATACCTAGATTTGCAATTTCCTAGAGAATCAGTATGTAACGGTATCTACACACTAATGTTTGAAACCACTCTGATTCTAAACTGCTGCCTTGATTTGTGCTAACATAGAACAAAGGTCCCCTAGCTGTATAATTCTGCCTCTCTGATGCTGCCATGGAAAATTAGGAACATCTGAATATTCACAGAACTCTGGAAACCTTGGAACTGATTTGGATAGGATGAAAGAAATTCAGAATACTGGTAGGTGAGGAAACAAAAAAGCTCAGGAAGCTATAAATAATATAAAAGCACAGCTTATTACCTGGAAGTAGACAAACAAATGTTTGAAAGAACTTGGCTAGCATGTAAAGACCAAAAAATAAATAAATAAATAGATCGTTACCTCCTCTGAACCATCCTTGGGTTTCATAGGGTTAGCATTAAGCAGCCCTATGACAGTGCCCTGCTCAGTCTTCCAGAGCTCTTTATGAACATTTCCAAACAAGAACAAAGACACATATCGTGTCAGGTCACGAAGATCATTCAGCCGCCAGATGCTAAATGTTTTCCCCTGGAACAAATATTTATTTTTAATAAATGTTCAACAAAGACACTGCCTCCATTTATGGTTCAGGTGTTCTAATATGAAAAATATATATAAATATAATCCACCATTAATATATAACTTGTATGTAGACATATAATATACGTCCACTAACTATACAATGATTTTTTTAGGTTTTGGTATTAGCATTCCCATTGTAGAGACTGAAGTGAAGTAAGACACCAGTAACAAATTTCTTAGCAGTCTCCCACTCTCAGGTCTTAATAGTTAAGCCCTCTTTCTAATCACTCACACATTCACACACATGCAGAGACAACCTGCAATAGGAAATCAGCCTCTGATTACATGCTCCTATCCTCTCCAAGAGGGGTCATGGTGTCATAGTACTCTACATGTCACCAAATGATGACAAGTGAAATGCAGTAAGAATCATGTGGGCCTAAGAAGCCCAAGAAACCTCTGCAACCAGATCTTCTTAAAGTAGGGCACTCTACATATGTCCCTTTCAGATACCAAGCTGACAGTGGTGTGGTAACTTCGGAACTGACAAGTAGCTATTTCAAAATGAAATACTGATGGGCCCGGCATGATACATCAAAAACATGAGTCCCTACTGCCAGTCTATGATAAAGCAGAGAAGGTCAATAAAATAGCTTACACTATTAGAACTCTGTGGAGTGATCTTCTTCAATATAACCCCAAATGTTACCCAATCTATTTCTTCCAGCTTCTCACTTGCAATTTTTTCCTTGAGCTGAGATAATCTGATCAGTTTCCGGCCAATCATCTTCTTGTTCATTTCTGTGGAGGACACTCGAGGACGCCTGGGTTGAGACCAACATTAGATTATTTTAAGAGATTATTGGAACTGTGCTGGGTGGTTAAAAGAGGTGTTATGAATAGGAATCTCTAAAGTACCTATTTTGAGGGGAACTTAGTTTTGTAGTGTGGACAAGACAGACATTTTTATGACAGATAAATAACGTATTTAAAAAAAATTATTTAATTATGCATATAAGTGCTGGGGTGCAGGCCAGAGATGTGGAAGGCAGGGGGTGAGAGGATTCACCAGACACAGTGGGGAGCAGAACAAGCAGATCTACTGAAATACACTGCTGAGGGGAGCAGTGGGGTGAGACAGCAGAGGTCTGCTGTGCCATATGGGTCAGCTCCCGGGCTGGAGATTGAACTTGTGCTGCAGTGGCTGCAGAGGGCTTCATAGTGCTGCGACTTAACCTGTGCACCACCAGGGAGGTCCAATAAAAAGAATTTTTAAAGCTTGGTTTACTTTTCTTTGTATAGAACTAGGGCTTATATGGAAAATAAGTTACAAATTCCTTAAATTTTATAAATTACAAGTTACAATATTTAAAAACAATCTTTTAAATACACAATCATTGAAATAAGTAAATATGGTACTTCAATTTCATAAATCCTGCAAGAGTGTCATAGATTGTACTACTTCTAATCAAGTATTTTTTAAATCAACATTTTCACATAATAAGTGATTAGAATCTAGCTTCATTTAATATATTCTTTTTCCCAGTGATTGACCAAAAATTTATGAATTTGCAAACTGTTTTTTCCTACTATAATGTTAATATCTACTCCAAGTTAGAACATATGATATAGTCAAGGTCAAGAGAGAAGAACATGATTTTAAACTACCTCAGAAGTCCTCTGGGTAGAAAATCCTAAAGCTAGTTCTGAACAATGAATACTCAGGAGGTAGAGTAGGTGGAGAGACCCTTTGCTTTGATTTCTGTGAGTGGCAAGGTATTAACCTTTGGAAAATTTTAGTTTCTGATGTTCAGGTCATAGAACTATAAATAGACAATTCTGCAGTCCTCTAAAGTACAGGCCATGCAGACACTTTGGCTGAGTACTTTCAACTGTCTCACTCAATCCCACCTCTCTGCAGTACAACATCAGCAACATCTTTATCTAGCAAAAGTGTCACTGAAAGCTGCTCAGGGGAGGCAGTGTCATCTCAAGTGAGACACGTGTACCTTCAAACAGAATCCTATAGGAGTCTTCAGGGAATGCTAAAGGGAATCATGGCTATCACTGTGCCTTACCCATCAGACTCTTTCTTAAATGAAATTAAAATGCAGTATAGTTTTTTCAGTTTTATTAGCGTAGTGCATCCTTACAATTCACTTTTAATGTACTCTGAAAGCAACCTGCTTACTCCCTGCTTAATCATTACAAACTTACAATTTAAAAGCATAGCAGTTTTTGTTTCGCTTGACAAGATTTAGGTGCTCTAGAGGGGGTTTACTTCACAACTCAGATAGATGTACTCAATGCAAACCAATCTCAGATCAATCTCTGCCCTGGTAATAAAATGGAATGATTTAGAGCACAAAATATTTGTGTTTTTAAATGAACTCATCCTAGATTTACTCCTATTTGAGCAAAGAATATAAGTTTGCTTAAAAGCCACTATGCAAAGAAAAAAAAATCATTTTTCTTAGTGTTTATTATAAGATGATATTATCGAGGCCCTCCCTGGTGGCGCAAAGGGTTGAAGCACAGCACTATGAATCTGTTGCAGCCACTGTAGCATGAGTTCAAGCCTCAGCCAGAAGGGTGACCCACATGCCGCGGCAGACCTCTCCTGACCCATCCGCTGCTCCCCTCAGCAATGTATTTCAGTCAGTCTGCCTGCTCTACTTCCCACTCTCACTAGAGACTTCTTTCACCCGCCATACCTCTGCCCTGCCCCCAGGTTCTGTATGTATAAATAAATAAATCTTAAAAAAAAAAAAAAAAAAGATATTTTCACCTTGGCTAAGCTGTATTGTGTTTCTTTTCTTCATGTGTTTGAAAATAGTCTATAATTATTTTTATCTGTCAATTCCTGATTCTTCATTTTCTTCATCATTATGTAAACAACAAAAACTTTTCCTTAAACATATCCCATGCAAATGTGTCGAATCAAACTGAATTCTATAGCTAGTGTTATTGCCAAGATTTGTCAAGTTCAAGAGCTGTTGGTGTTACGCGGGTCTGGTATAAACACGCTTTCTCCAATGTCCGGTGTTTGGAAAGGAGAGGAGGGTACAAGAGCAGAGTGGAGGGGCTGTTGCAGTTACTGACCTGAGTCTCAGGCCAGAGAAGGCTTCCACAGAGACAGGCTGAACCAGTTCCCCAGAACTCCTGGGGGTTGCTGCACTCTGATCTCTGGTCACACTGCTTGGCTTATTGCCAGGAGTGGTTTGGAGTGGTAAGGGGGGTGCATTTGTCATACTTGAAAGTGCACTTGTCATACTCGAAGATGAGCTTCTGGACACTACAAAATTGGCATAAAAAAAGAAGTTAGAAGAACACCAAATCACAAAATTTACAGCTATTTCTTTTTCAATCAATAGTTCCATAAACCAAATATTGAGAGAACAAGGAAGCCCACCAGATTACTTCTGTGTGCTCAAAAACACCTTTCTGTGCCAATGGAATTGCTTTATATTGCTACTGCACAATGTGAGAGCCACCAGCCATGTGTGGCCACATATCACTCAAAATTGACTGGTGCATCAGAGGAAAGGGATGTACAAGTGAATGGAAGTAAATTTAAACAGCCCCTCAATGGCTAGTAGCTGCTGTATTAAAGTGCAGCTCTAGACTAGTGTTCCCCTATGCAACGCCATTCACTAAGTAGGCACTGCAGAAGAATGATGGCAGGTGCCACGGGGAGACCCCTGCTTCAGGCACGCACCATTACAGGAGTTCTGCATGCAACTCCAATTCTACTCTCAGAAAACCCTTTCTTCACTTCTTTCAGTCCATTTTCCCAAGCACCTTGAGAAGATAAACCAAAACACCTACATACATGCATGTGTGTGAATGTTCACACCCACAATGCTAATGTTATTTTAACCGAGCCAGAACAGTGAAGGAGGATTCAAATACTACACCTGCAGGTGAAAGTTTTGGTGTTCGAGCTACCCGCTTGGCTTTTGGTAGAATAGGAACATCAAGCTCAGCAGAAAAACAAGTTGACTCTTGAATTCTCTGAACTTTCTTCTCCTTAAGAGGTAGACGTGCAGACTTAGCTACTTGAGAAAAAGTAAAAGAAACTTGTAAAGAAAATTTGAAAAGGGCTTAATAGCTGTTTTATTTATTAAAAAAAAAAAAAGCTTTACTTTTATTTATTTATGCATAAAAGAGCTGGGGTACTGGCTAGAGGAGTGTGGGGTGAGAAGATTCACCAGAGACAGAATGAGGAGCAGAACGGGCAGATCTACTGAAATAGACTGCTGAGGGGAGCAGTGGGAGAGACAGGAGAGGTCTGTTGTGCCAATTAAGTCCACTCCTTGGCTAGGGATAGAATTCAGGCCATTATGGTGCTGAGACTTAACCCCTGGGCCACTAGGGAGACCTATCAGAGCTGTTTTACCAAGAATTTGATGCAGAAGTAATGTTATCATTTCTTCGTAACTACTCCTAGATTGATAGTCTTATTACCAGGGGATTTCTGCAGAAGAGCTGGGCTATTAGGCTGTGTAATTGTTGCTGTCTTTAACTTTTCTTGTAAGGATTTCATTTGCTCTTGCAGCTTCCTTAATTCAGCTAGGAAAGAAAAATATATTAATTTAAGAAATACAACAAAGGAAATATTATACACAGTGAAGCTGTAGTAATTATTTTTGGTATTCATTCATCCCTCCCCAAAAATTTTGAGACCAAATATGTGACCACATACCAAGAAGATTAACTTAGCACTTCATAGGGGTCCCTTAGAGATATACATTTTATATTTTTAATAATTAAGCCTTTAACACCAAAAGCTATTTAATTTTGTTTTACTGACATATCAAAGATACATATTTCCAGTTAACAATCTTTTAAGGAGACATGAAATGACTTTTCATTTCATAGGAATCATAATTAATACAATAAACATTGCTCCTGTATAAGAAGAAATAGTTGTACTGAAACTGAATTGTTTTATTATTTAAAAATAAAGACAATGACAGGAATGAGAAAAAGGTTATGTCTCAACATTTCTGTTCAAGAATGGTCTCCTGCTCAAATGGCATGATTATCTCATATAGTAACATAGTCTTATCTCTTGCTCTATATGCATATACAATCTTCTGTAATAAGCAGGAAAAATGTTGGAGTTATTCTGTGAAGGATCAGTTACAGCTGTTGACACTGAACTATGCTAAAATGCATAAGGAGGTCTTAAAGGTCTGATCTACTCATTTATACAAATTTGTTTACAAAGTATTTATCTCCAGCCTTGAATCTGTAATGATTTTGATAAACACTGTCAGACTGGTGGTCTTCAATCTAGTCTATTTCAAAGAAATTAGAGCAAAGCAAGTACTTATGGCACCTTGTAACTCTTGATTCGTTTTCTCTTGACTGGGAGCAGGAACAGGGGGGACTCTATTTTTCGTTGATTGCAATGGAGCTACTTCTTCTTCATCTGTTAGGTCTTCCATATCTCCAAAAAGAGAGGCCACATTTTCTTTCTGATCTTCAGTCTTTTCCTCATCACCATCATCAGTCTCCTCAGTGTAAGATTCACCATCACCGCTAGCATCAAAGAGCTCATCAAATTCATCAGGTCTGCCATCTGTCTGGGCCAAGGGGTCAGTCTCCTCTGAATTACAATCCAAGGTTGCCTCATTCTCCTCCAGTAATGCAGTCAGCAGAGACAGATCATCCTCCTCCCCTGGAGAAACAAAAAGGACAGAAATTAAGGCCATCTGAGACAGTGCCAACAAGCACAATGGATTAAAAAGTTAACGTTAATAAGGTGATTAAAATTATTCTGCAGATATACCATTTTGTCTGATATTGCTCATCTCTGCTTTTCCTTTTCCCAAATGCTTCTTGGAGAGCACAGGGCTTGGGAAGAGGCTACTTGCCCTGTGACCACAGTGGGCCAGGCAAGAGCCTGTATCCTGTCACTTGTGCCACTCAGCTTTTGCATACCAACATCTATGGAATCTGACCTACAGGGGGGAATCAAAAACTCAGGGGCCTGTGCTGTGGATACTCACCCCCTTTTGTTTAGAAATTTTTCTAACATACAGAAAGATGCAGAAAATTATATAAAAAGCTATCACTAACACTTTGGCCTTATGTTAAATCATATTTATAAAATTTAAAAAAAAGTTAAAAGTTTATCATGCCAAATCTTATCCGAACTCCTTACTACTGTCTTCCAGGCCATACTACAATCACTCTCATAATTTTGGCTTAACATTCCAGTCTGTTTTTCATACATTTCACATAAATATATAGTATCCATAATTAACATGCAATGTTTGGTTGTTTCAAAAACATTTACCTAAATTTCATTGTATAAGTTACTGTGCTTGGGTTTCACTTAACACTGTACATAACACTGATCCAAGTCAAAATACCTAGTTCCAATTTATTCCTTTCAATTGCTATATTGTACTCCATAGTAAAACCATCATTTCGCTAAACCATGTTTTCATAAAAGACATACGGACTCGTTCCTAATTTGTCCTGCTACTAACTATGCTACAATCATCTATAAACTTTTGCACATGTGTTTCTTGGGAATGCATATGAAAAATGGAGTAGACGGATTGCTGGATCTACACATTTTCCAATTTTACTTGTAGCTGCCAAATTGCTCTCAAAGTAGTTGTTCTCTCATTAGTATGCAAGTAACATTTCTCCATACCAAAATCTGCAATGCCACTTAAAATTTTTGCCAATCTGATGGATGATTTAAAAGTGCATCTCATTGCTCCAATTTGGATTTCTGGGATTACTAGTGAGATAAAAAGAACTGCTTATGTCTATTGGTCAGCTGGATTTCTCCTTTCTTATTTTGTCTATTTATTTTTTATTCGTCATTTTTTTTCTCTGCTTGGGCATTATTCCTTTACAAAAACAGTGGCAGCTAAAGCAAAAACATTAAGAACATTTGAAGCACTCCCCAACGGCAGGGGCTCAAGTCCAGAGAGAGAACAGGCTGTTGAGGATCACCTGGTAGAACAGGTCAGCGCAGGAGCCTGATTTGTATGCAGCTCTCAGACCATCACACAATAGCCCTTCCTGTGCTACTGTACCAGAAAAGAAAAGGACCAAGAGCCAAATTTTAAGCCTAGAATCTGATGAAAAGGTCTAGGGCTTAAAGTAAAAGGTTGTATAATGATTAGTTAAAGTACTGACTAATAAAGACTCCAGGTCTGCAAATTCTGTAAGTAAGAGAAAAGAGGCTATCTGGCTCCCTGTGCCACAGGTGAAACACATCCTGGAGTGTCAAGAGTTCCTCCTCTTATCTCTCCTTCCCAGCTGCCACATCCCAAAAAGGAGTCTTGGCCCATACCACTGGGAGCCACGGTGATGAATCTTGCTTAAAGTAGTCATACCCTTGGCCTTTTCTTCAGAGATGACAAGGGTTAATCTTTAGAGATGACAAGGTGTCTTCCACTCCAGTTCATCTGTCACCACTCAAAATCACCTCTTTTCCATTTAATGCTGATCCCAACTCCTGCTGCCTTATTCCTTGGGATCTGCTATTTGGAATCCAGACACATACTAACAGCGAAATCTCCATGTATTCTCAGTGGTTCTTACAAGAGAAAACTGGCTACCCCTGTTATCCTTTTAAGTGGAAGTTGTTTAATTTTCCACACCTCACACTGCGAGTATTAGTCAATTTTTCATTTTGTCTATACTGGACTGAATGTGAAGTCAAGCTACCAGAGATCTTATGGTTTCTTAGAGAACACACACACCATTTATTTTCATGACCACTTCATAATACACAGTCATGCTCTGTATTTTATAAAATATCTTACAGGTGGCCCTCCCTGGTGGCACAGCGGGTTAGAGCACAGCACTGAGAATCTGAGGCCGCTTCCGCATGAGTTCGATTCCCGCCTGCCCCAGAGGTGACCACATGGCGTGGCAGACCTCTCCTGACCCGTCCGCTGCTCCCCTCAGCAGTGTACTTCGTCAATCTGCCTGTTCTGCTCCCCACTCTGTCTCTGGTGAAGGCTCTCACTGTCCCTGCACCTCTGGCCTGTACCCCAGTTCTGTATGCACAAATAAATAAATTAAAAAAAAAAATATCTTACAGGTTATTTGTTATGTTAGGAAACCAGAAACTATCATTATACCTAAGGGAGCAATACATTTTCACATATTATCACAATGTGGTAAATTTCAACATTTGATTCTACTTTTAAATTTTCTTTACAGGCAAAGTGTAACAAACTTGGAATTGCAAAAAAATAGTTTCAGACAATAAGTTAATTACACAACCCAGAAAAAAATAAGTGTTATATTTTTAAGGTTTCTTCATAGCTAGCATTGCTTCCAGGATAAGCTCTGCTAATTAGAACATCTCTTTACTAGGTAAATATTTTGTCCATACCCCTGCAAAATTAGAAAGGACTATACAAGTTTTAGTTGGAGCGAACCTGACTTCAAAGGCGTTTAAGACTTACTGTGAACTCTGAAGTCAAGACTGTCTGGTTCAAATCTCTTCTCTGTTTTCCTGTGACAAGCCACTAAACAGCTGTCATTCTGCCTATAAAATCTGATTGCTGTGAAAATGAAATCAGCTTACATAATTCAGGATTTTATAGAAATGCTTGGCATGTTTTAAGTATACGCCTATTATTATTATTCTGAAAGACAATTACTACTGCCCGGAGGAGAAATTCTACCTAATTAAAAACAAGTACCCTTAGTGACAGAAGTGCACCGAGACATTACTTATATAATACTTAAAGGTGGAGGATCTTAAGTCACTTTTCTGTATAAGGAATAAAAAACAAGGCAATGGACAAAAGGATATGTTTTCCATGACATAAAGAGAAAATGTAAACTGCCAGTACTTACCATCCATGATTTAAGAGAATGAATAAGATCGAGAACTTCAAAGAAGGATCAAGGGCCAGGTAGATGGCAGGAACACAGTCTCATCTGTATGAAATCAACATTAGAAAAGTCACTCTTCATTTTTCTCTCTCTCCTATAGACTATCTAACAAATCTAGGTTCCCAGAAATCCTCAGCACTCATACCTAATTCATCCAGAATGTGATCATTCCCCTCCTTTCCCCCAGCTAACAGTATCTGCCTTCTAGTATAGGTGCAGCCCCCTTTTTCCTATCTTCAAACTATGGTTACTAGAAACTCTGGTGAGGTCCAGAGTAGCAGCTTGCATAATGGATTATACAAACATGGCAAATTGGGAACAAGTATTACCGAGCCCTATATCTCAGTGCTATTAGCCCATTTAATTTATTGTTAACACATGTAATAACTACATTATACATAGCAGCCAAGAAGACAAGTGTGTGGTCCCACAGGGCTAAAGTTTCAGCTTCAGTCACATCAGGTTTCAATTCTAATTAGTGAAGTTCAGAGGAAAAATTGGCACAGCTAATTAGAATAAATGCATATCATTTTGTGCCCTCTCTTTTTTTAAGTTACAATGACTTCAAACACAGCAAAAAGATGTGTAAAATTTCTTGGACATTATTTAACTTCTACTCCCCAATCACTGGTCCATCCCCCCACATCTCAGTTTCACCACCCAAAGTACCAGCCACCATCAATCTTGTGCCTGCACCACTACATTAGCTTCCTGTATTGGTCTCTTGGTCAATCTGTATATCCTGTTCTCCATACAACAGCTTTGGTCCATCTTTTCTAAGTCATCTTTTTGGCACATAAATCGTATCATGGTATGCCATTAAAAAAAATTATTCAATAATTTTTCATTGCCCTTAGAACAATATGTACTAAGCTTAGGAGGCACTTTTCTAATATTCCTTCCTCACCTTTTCCATGTATCCAATTTCATCCAATTCTACAGTACCCTCAACTCTCACCCCCCCCCCTCCCCAACCGTGTTTCCACAATTCTAGTTTGGTTTCAGATTACTGAAAACAGTGCTTTCAGGCCTCCAGCTCTTTGGAAAGCGCTCCCCTACCTCCTTTTCATCGTGCAGACCCCAACTAGCAATTTCTCAAAGCACCCGCACATCACCTATCCAAAGTAGGCTTGGTCCTTACCCGCTCATCTCACTCTTTCATGCCCATTCCACAGTAGCATACTTGTTTATCTTTAGATTGTAAGTTTCATGCAGATTTAAGTTAAGGTGTATTTGGAGCCCAGGCATAACACATTCAGAAATATAACGGGATGGAGGGGAAGAGGAGACCAAAACAAACCGAAACAAACACGAGGAATTTATAGAACTGAGGTTACCAGAGACTGGGGAAGTGGGGAAAGAAGGGTAGGAGCCCGGAGGACCATGGTAGAGATTATGGCTTGGATGGGCAGTGGGGTACGGTAAAATACATCTGAAGAGTAGAGTCCCTAAAAATCCGTATAGTGTTGTATACCAACCTTAGCGCAATGAAAACAATACATTTTAATAAAGCTATTAACAAATCGTGGACTTTAAGCACTTAATGAATGAATCAAGTCACCGGCAAAGCATCTGGCAAGCATTTTGGTTACTTTTAAAAAGAAAAACTATGTCTGGATCCTTCCGGGTGCTTTTCAGGGGGGCTCCTCCGCACTTCCCCAGCCCACACACTTTCCCATCGTTCTCCCCCCGCGCCCACCCACAGCGCTCGCCCTAGGTTTGCCCGAGAGGGCTCCCCAAGGCAGTCCAACGCCAGCCGCGCCTCCGGATCCCGCGGCATTGGCGTCTGGGGCTCTATAAATTCGCTCATCCTCGCGAGCGCCCAGCTACAGCTCTCCCCTGCGCCCGAAGGTCACACTCACCCACAGACCCCAACTCCTTACCCGGTTCCGCACCGCTTCCCAGTCTATAGCCAGTCCCGCCAAATTCTAACTTGACTCCACCCTCGCCTCTACGTAAGACGCACGTCGACCTGGGACCACGCTGATTGGCTACGTTAGAGCTTTCTGAGTGGACAGCCTGGGAAGAGGGAGACGTACGATCCAGGCGTAGAGCAAGCTGATTGGCTCACGTGACGAGGCGCCCTGTTTGTTGTGGGCAAAGGAACTTCCGGTCAGTGGCGCTTTAGTCTCGCTTCCCAAAATGAAGTACTCTGGCGCCCCACAGCGCCTGGAAGTTTTTATCTTTCCTGTGAGGTAGTTTTACCCGGTTCCAAACTCACTACCTGATACGTTACGGACAGACTGTGTCCAATTCTTTTGAGTTTCATTTTCTCATGAAATGGTGAGTAACACTTGCGGCAGAAAAGCCTATACAATTATGCTGAAAATGCACAGCACATGCCAAACAGGACTCCTGTTGGAACCGGGAACTTCCCCTTATTCTGGGGACCACCATATTACACCCTTACTAATTTCCTGTGGTTAGCTTGGTCATATGGAAGTCTGAACAAACTGGTTGGTTGTTTACTCAGTTGACTATTTCGCAACTTTGTGTTCAATTGAGATAAGTGGACTCAAAAACAAAAATCCTGTCCACTTTTTATCTGTGACCTTAGGGGAGTAAACCCTTTGGGATTCTGCTTCACTATTTATATGAGATGGAAAAGCTAGATGACTTTCTTTGAGTAGAAGCAACTATTCGAACTTATTTATGTATTTACATTCTAAAAAAAAAAGTGTTGGTACATAAGTCAGAGAATGCAGTTTCTACGTGCATATCTACATTTCAAAGAAATGTAGGCATATCTACATTTCAAAGAATTCAAAGAGTTTCTGATGGATCAAATGACCATGTTTAAGTTTTTTTTACTCTTGTAGCGGTATTCCGGTGCGAAATAAGCCCTCCCTTCCCCCATGCAGTTCATATAAGATACTATCTCTGCACTGTGTCTACCTACATTTTCAGAAAAATTAAAATCAGCTTTAGAATAACTGGAAAATAATACCAATGTACTATACAATGATTTTCTTCCCTCCCTCTTGCTTTTCCTCCTTCTTAATGGAGTATTAATATTCCATTTATGAATTCAGCTCTGTTATCTGAGATTATTATATTGATCGAGGAATAGTGACAATATCTTTTGAAGTACTGCTAATGCTGAAAAATACACTAATGCACCATATTGAAGAAAGTTTTAGTGTATCACTACATAACTAGTTATAAGAAGTTTATCACGGAAATAGTCATTATGCAGACATTCTGGGACCAATTCTGATAGATATTCTGATGTTCTTTTATTTCCCCTTGACTTTCTGGGTCCATTTTGCATCCAGTTCCATGCAAGAAATAGGAAGCAGTGCCATCTGAGCCTTCAGACTTTCCCGGAGAGAATCAGGCAATTACTGAAAATCAGATAGTGGTGTTTTTGAGAAGTGAACATGATTCTGAGAAAGAAGAAGCAGAATAGATTAACTCACTGAATGTAGGGATATTAGAGAAGGATGGGTTAAGACATGGGTAGGGAGAGAGAGAAAGGAAGAGAGGAAAAGAGGCAGAGGTAGTTTTTGAGATAAAGCATTGAAGGTCAGGAACAAAAGAACAGAACATGTTTAGGAAAACAGATTTGGTTTTGAACTTCAGGATGAGGTATGTGAAAGATACTGATTAAGATACTGTTAAGATACTGATTAAGTTTGATTTTCAGATCTGGGGTTGGACAGAGAAGTCTGTATTACAGTGGCTCTTAGCAGGGGTGGGAGAGTGATCACAAAATCTTTTAAGAATACTATGAGGCCCTCCCTGGTGGCACAGGGGGTTAAAGCACTGCAAGCAAGCACAGCTGCTTCATTGTGAGTTCAATCCCCAGCCCTGCAGGTGATCCACACGGTGTGGCAGACTGCTCCTGCCTTGCCTGCTGCTCCCCTGAGCAGTGTACTTAGTGGATTTGCCTGTTCTGCTCCTCACTCTGTCTCTGGCAAATCCTCTTACCGACCCTGCGCCTCTGACTTGTACCCCAGTTCTGGGTGAATAAGTAAATAAATCTTTTTAAAAAGTTATTTATAAAAAAATACAGTGAAAATGTTTACCCTCTCTCCACCCCCCAAAAATGCACACTCCTACATTCAATATTTTGTATGTCTTTTCAATGGAATTACATTTTCCCCCTGAAGATGCTCTCTAAGAAACCTCTGGTGTAGGAAGAACTGTAGAAAGCAGACACTTGAAGTACAGAAGAGGCAGAAGCTGAATAGGGCAGTTGGGTGGCTAGGAAACAGTGCCGCCCTTAATACTTGGCAAGAGGGCCCCCTTGACTGGGTCTGTCCTTCATGTACCCTTAGTCTCATCCTCTTCCCGCTGTGTCCTTCCCAACATGGTGAGGCGTCCAGGGCCAAGGGGGTGCACCCATCCAGGTCCTGAGCAATGCCTGTAGCGATAGGTCCTGGGGCCCTGGGGTTCTTTACCCAGTGACCCTGAGTCCACATATGGGTCCATGTGGCTGCTTCTCCTGGATGCCCTTCAAAGGGCAGGGGCCCACTTCTTCAGATGCTATACTTCAGTGTGAAACTCCAAGGAGAGGGGTAGTTTTATCTATAAAGTTAAAATTTTATACATAAAATATGAGGTCCTCTTGCTCCGGGTTTTCCAGTAGAAGAGGTGGGCCTTCAGGTGGGCCTTCAGGATGCCAAGGAAGGAGAGGTTTAAGAAATGGCAAATATCGGGCCTCCCTGGCAGTACAGGGGTTCAAGTCTCAGCACTAACAAGCTATTGCCAGCCACTGCAGTGTAAGTTTGATCCCCAGCCAGGGATGACCCACATGGCACAGTAGACCTCTCTAGTCTTGCCCGCTATTCCGCTCAGCAGTTTATTTCAGTCAATCCATCTGTTCTGTTTCACACTGTCTCTGATGAATCCTTTCACCCTACCCCCCAGCATGTCTGGCCTATAACCCAGATCTTGTATGCATAAATAAATAAATAAAAATAAATCTTTAAAAAAATAAGAAAGGGCAACACAAGTGAGAAAGAACAGGGGAAGAACATGCCCAGTGTCTCTTCCACACCTGAGAAGAGGAGAGGAGAGGGCTAGGGA